CGTCTCACCTGCTGCTGACCGCGGGGCACGCGGCCGGCCTGCGCGGGCAGCCAGGAGCGCTTGGGCCTGGGGCTCTCATGCAGGAGCTGGAGGAGAGGGAAGGGCCGTGGTGCTAAGGAGAGGGGACTCTGCTCACGGCGTGGTGCTGAGCAGAGCCCCGGCCCTGCAGGCTGCCTGCCTGCTCGCGTTTGCCCGGCGTGGGTGTGCACGCTTCCCTCCTGCTTCGGCTGGGCAGAAGCATGGGACGGGCACCCCGCCCCGGCCCCAGATGGAAGAATACAGTACCTGGCAATGTTTCTCTTCCCCACATATCTGAAGTGAAATAAACACACCCTAGAAAGAAAATATGTATCTGTTAGAGATCCTGCTCGTCATGAACGATCCAGAACATTTAAAATCTAGCCTGTCCTTGTCTGCAGACACAATCCCCTATGCATGAGGGCTTGGGTCTGTGTTTACCAGTGGTTTGGCCTCATACCCTCTGTTTCCAAACCCTATGGCACTGGCATATCCCTGTCTCCTGCTCCATCTGTTCCACCAAACCAGTGGTGGTTGTGCTGGTTATGGCAGGAGGCTGTGCTGTGAGCCCTGCTCACCTGCGGCTGGTGGGATACCCTTTGCACAGCACAGTCCAAGCACAAGCCTCACCACGTTCTCTCAACATACATCTGTTTCTCCTCAGAGGGAAGACAAACATTTCATTACAACCTGGCTAGACACCTCTGCTGCTGCACAGGACCACACACATCCTGTGAGGCACACTTCACTCATGTCTTCTTGGCCAATGCTGCCAGCACAAAGGCACAATGTTTGAATTGCAGCCTCATGATACTCACTCCAGAAGCACAAGGACATTGATCAGCTCTTGGGGGGAGAATTTGTTCCAGTAAGCTAAAAGAGTATCTGAAAGAAAAAAAACAAACAAACAAAACAACAGTGCACTGAGAATTAAAAGAAATTAAGAAGGGAACTTACAGACCAAAACTGTCAGTGATTGTCTCTGGTCTTTCTGGCTGCCCTCCAGTGAGCAAGAGCCACCAACCTTCTGAGATCATCTTCACAATGTAGAGGTAGCACATCAGGAGCGTCCGAATCTCAAATTGGTCCAGCCGGCTGCAGTGTGACACACTGCTCCTCGTGGAGCTTCTGCAGATCTAAGGGGACATGGATGTGATGCAGAGGCCCATGGCCCTCAGTGCTGTGGCCCTGGGCTGTGTCCAAGCAGAGTGTGGGGCCAGAAGCCACACAGTGTGGGCATAGCAAACCTGGCACATGCTAGATGTGCTAGCATTCCTCCTGTCTCCCTACATGTGCACCCTCACTGCACCATGCTTTGGAGATGACTCATCCTTGGGGGTTGCTGCCCATCCCGTGGAAATCCGGACAGACAGCTGAACACTTCTCTGCCCAGAAAAAAAATGTCTGGGCTTTACCAATTTTTTTGCATTCTCTGTGCTCATCCTAGCTGTATCCTCTGACAAATGGATGCGATTAAGCTCTAAGCAGGACGTTTTTCTTAAAGCTGTGCCTCACATGTTTGGAAAGCGATCCACAGATCTCATTTGTTGTTTACTCTAGGACAAACTATAGACATGAATCATAGTAAGACAGAATTAAACACTCAATTTAGAGTTGGAGATACAGTCCTACACCAGAACTTTGCAGTTTACCATAGCAAGCCAGCACACACCTCACTCGAGGCTGAAAAAAAGTGGTGCTTCTCCATGTGGCATTACTTTATATGTTTTTGTGGATATTGCATTCCCTAGCAGAAAAGCTCTTTTCAACAATGCAGAAAAAGATACCTTCAAGGACACAGAAGAGGATATCTAGCTATAGGGAAGAGCTGAGCTGCAAGCAATAATGCTTTCTGCAAACCCTGCCAGCAGTCCCTCAGAGCTTGCTGAATATGAATAGCTGATAGTCAAGTGTTCAGCCATACTTGGTCTTGTAGCTTCATGTGGGAGAGCTTGAAAGGCCCCACCTCTCTTAAGCATGTAAGGACACAGCCAGCAAGAACCTAGATAATCTTTGCCTTGCTTCTTGTAAGGGCCAAAGTTTTAAAAGACACATCAATGATTCATGCCAACCTAAGACATCTGGAAAGCGCCTTGAGGAAAACCAGGCGCTGGTTTGCGCAAATACCTGATTTCCATGTGTGCAATCTGCCAATAAGAAGAGTACACCCTGTGTGAATAGTAGGGTCACAGGTCTTTGTGGTGTGACTGCAATCACCTTCTGCAAGTTTGGGGCTGTGTTTACTAGCCTGTGTTGTTTTTCCTACAAATAGCTCATCTCCTCTTAATTCAGAGGTCACTGGCAATGTCACATCACAGTGCACTGTCTTCCAGCTGTGTGTGTGGAAACCAGTTCACAGCACCATGCACTGGGCACTGGCCAGCCTCAGACCCATCCATGCAAAGGAAGCACATCTGAGTATGGATAAATGCATGATGTGAGCAGAGATTTTCCCTACGGATTTTGTCTTTCATCTTTGATAAGCAATTTGTCAACAGTTATATTTTTAGCTCAGAGCTGGTTGAAGAGGGAAAGCATACCAGACCCATGTGTCTGAGCTTCTCTGTTAAATATCAGTCTGTTTCCAGACAGACATGCTTATAAGCTGGCTTTTGAGAGCACTACCACAGGGAACTCCTTTTCTGTCCCTCTTATTTAACATAGCCTGCAGACTGGTGCAGTGAGCATCGTTCCTCCTGACAGCAGATACGTTACATTTTCACTCTGATCCGGGGAACCCATAGTCCCCTCCGAGCTTAGGGATCCTTTTGAGTCCTCTCGTTTTACTGCATGGCCATTTGGAAGTGCTGCTCCGCAGCCTGAAAAAAACAAACCCCATGATTAACCCCTTTGCACCGGTATTTCTCAGCACATCATGGACAGCAAGTGGAGAACGTGATTTGGGTGCACAGCACAGATGGGGCTTGCCAAAGCCCCACGTCAAAAGCTGATTAATCTTGAAGGGATGGTTGGGGTGACACCATATTCAAGGAAAAGCATACAAACTCTTTGAGGTCTTTTGACAGATGACTGTTTCAGGTCTTGGGTAATGGTTTTTGGAAGCTGTTTATAGTTACATTCAACATAAATGGGAAAGTTAAAGCCTAGAAAAATTATTTACCTGGATCTTTGTCTGCAATCAGGCTGGATCTATTTGAGGGTGATGCAAAACTGCACATGAATTCATCCCTGGATGCCTGTAAAGCAACATAAGGTTTCTGTGGCCAATTGAAGGTAACACCTATTTCCTTATAAAGAGAACAATGAAATAAAGAGGGCAAATTATAGCTTTTACAATGCAGATAAAAAAAATCTCTTTCCTTAATTCCATAACAAGGAGAAAAATGACTTGGGGAGGAGTATAAAGAATACCAGAACATATTAAAGTAAACCACAGCAGTTTTTTCCCTTTTGTTTTCATCACTTGAGTTGAAATTTTGAGTTGTTTTTCTGAAATGTCTTTTTATTAGTGCTGTTTTGCCCCAGACAAGGAGGAAAGTCTAGTCTGTGAGGCTAAGTCTGCCTAAGAACTACACACAACACTCTGGCAGATGGGTAGTTCCCCAGAACAACTGCTGGAGCCTGAAACCTAGTCCTCCTGCAACTTATTGCACTTGGTGGGACTTACTTCACCTAACAGCACTATGCATAATGTAAAGATACAAGTTAAACAATAGCAAGCAAAAGGCAGAGACACTGTTCCCAGTCCTACGGACAGAACAAAGCCACAGGAAAAGCCCAATTAAAAGAAACACGCACATTATGGGTCTGCGGGGAGAAGAAATCAGACTCATTTCTCAGGCTGAGCCTGGTTGCAGGCAGGGGAAGTCACCCGAGGGGCGTGTGAGGAGAGGAGCACTGAGGACTGCTGGGCTTTACTCACGGGGCTGGAGGCAGCAGTGCAGGAGTAGAGTGCCTCGCGGGTGGCCACCCGCTGGAGGTTCTCCAGGAGCAGCCCGAACAGCGGCAGGTACAGCTGGGCTATTTTTGCCTGCTGGTTCTGAAAAGAGACAGGGTGAGATGCAGGTAACAGCCCAGGCTTTCAAGGGAGCAAAAAAGGGAAACTTTTTCTGCCAAAACACACACACACACATATATATAGACACACTGTACATGGTGTCTGAGGACATGGGTTGGTTTGGCTTCTCATCTCCACTTCCAGAGCTGCCAGGTAGGTATTACCATTCTAGCAGCAAGCTTGGGGTACTCAGGGATTTTGAGGGCTGAATAACATTCCCAGTCACACAAGATATGTGACAGAGTAAATCCCGGATTTCCAAACTCTTTAACTGGCACTTCACTCACATTGCCTGATAGCAACACCCAGAAGTAATGAAACAAAAGCATTTGCTCCTTGCCTGGTGCTGGCTATTGCTTCCATTTGGGAATTCTCCATAGCAAATACTTCTAGTTAAAACAGTTTCCAGGAACAGTAACTTGGATTAAGTTATACAGATCAAAAATGGTCTGGTTGATGTTTTCTAAAAGCAGGGCTCTTCTACATCCAATTCTTTTTTGTTAAAAATGTATTATTATGGACTTCACAGAAAGGTTAAAAAAAGAAGAAATTTTAGTCTTGCAAGCTGAATGGTATATTTTGACCATTACAAGAATCCAATTAATTCTTCTGATTCAGCATGACAAAAGATAAAAATAGTCTTGCAAACGCCCATGGGTTGTGAAAAAAGCTCTCTCAGCCATTGATGGAGCAGGGGCTTCCTCAGCTGGTGTAACAGACCCTGCTATACTCAGGACCCTGTCCTGCTTGTGACATGATTTTTGACTTTGGTGTCTTGGGACACCAGCTAAGCATACTGCCCTGGCTCCAGGCAGTTTTCTGGTCACGCAGCCTAGAGCACAAGACGTGAAAAAATCCAGTGGGACAATTTTAAGACAGATAGTGGTTTTGAGGAGGCAGAGAGAGTGCTGCACACTGAGGGGTCAAACAGTTCCTGACTTAGTTCAAAGGGTTTCAGGCACCTAGAAGAGTAGAAGCAGGCTAAACCTGACCCAGACTTGGCAGGGAGCCAAGCAAGGAGATATCTCTCCTGAAATATCAAGTCTTCTCAACTACCATGTTTTCAGGCTGTGCAGGTCACCACAGGCGCTCAGTGCAAAGAAAAGCAAGCCCATCTCCCACTCAGCCCTTCCAAACAGGCAGAGAAGGGAGAGGAGAGGACCTGGCTTTGGGTCCATGCAGAGTACAGGAGCTCCAGGCACATTCAGGCCACTTCCACCATTCATGCCCAGAAGGCTATCCACACTCCCAGATAAAATTCAGGAATGGAGCACACTAGGAGCAATTTGAGGAGCTAAACACTAAACAGAGTTTTCAGCCTAGATCAAGGATAGGTGGACTGGTAGTGTCTGCAAAGGTAGCTGGGCACTTTCAAGGCCATATAAGTCAGCAGGAAGCAGCATCAAGAAAGAAACCAAGACCACCTCCAGGCTCTTTCAGCAATGCCACATATCGAGCCTCTGACTAAAGAAAGCTGAAAGCTACCCAGCAGAAATCCAGCATCTCATGAGAATCCACAGATCCTCTCCTCTGATTCACTAATTGGTAAAACATGCAATGACTTGTAACAGAGATCAGTCCTGTTTCCTAATTATAGTATATTAATGGAGGTTATTAATTTAAACCCAAGACCAGAAGAACATTGACGTTGCTTAATTTTGCTGAACAGCCTTTTGGCTAATGACACTCTCAAATTCCTTAATGGCCCAGGGCTTTATTATCTAAATACTCAGCATGAATAAGAGCACTGCAGTTATCTGACTAGATTGTTTGTGTTTCCAGATAATTTCTCAGAACTATTAACTGCTATGCCAAAAATATCAGTTACAACAGTTCCCTAAAAAGTAATATGAATACTCCAAGTTCACCATGTAAAATCTAAAACTCTGATGTGTTTTTTCATAAAATTCAAGAACATTACCTTTAAAAGAGAAAAAATTACAGCTATGCCTGACCTTGTGCTGATATCTGTTGTCAAAGGCATGCTTTATCAAGAGACTTTTTAAGACTGAGATGGCTGTATATCTGGTATCATAGTTGTCCTGCAAGGCAACAGAAGTTTCTCTGAGAAGCAGCCCCACCAGGAAATGATGTCTGCAATACTCATCAGTTAAACTGTATTCAAGAGTTACATCTGAAAGAAAGAACAAAAAAATGGTTAAGGGAACTGCTCTGAGGCTCTGCTCAGCACAAGATGTAACAGTCACATAAGCCACAACAGTCCCTGAGTATGGTTCCTCACTCACTTCCTATGGTGCACTGATCTTTCAATAAAGCCTTAACTGGCTCAGGTTTTCTCCACAACTGAGTTATGTCATATCAAAGAACTCAGCATCTTCCGGTTCATGTTAGTCATTAATTTCAATCCTCAGCAGTTCAGCAACAGCTAAAAGGATTTGTGCAGTGTGATGCTTTATAAAACTTAGCACTCCAAAGAGTACTTTGCAATGTTAGAGATGGAATAAACAGGAAAGAGAGCATGATTTACTGCCTGGGGGCTACTTTACTCCTGACTGGAGATTATCCTGTAAATCCCCAAACCAGCCAGGCAGCAGAGGTGCCAACCCCCACGGAACAGCTGTGAGGGTGGTAATGGGCAGTGGAAACAGTGCAACCACAGTTGTCCAGCCCTAGCAGTGTCATTTCTGCAGCTTGTTCCACACCCTCTGTGAAACCTGCGTTCCTTCTCTTCAGGTCAGAGAGCAGGGAAATGGCAAATACGCCTGCTGGGAAGAGGGATGATAACAAGGATAAGCAACTTCTACTACATCCTCCAGCAGTTTACATATCCCAGCTTTCCAGCCCCACTGCAAAGATCAGGAAGCCAGGGCAGGATTCCAGGCAGCTACTTGCCAGAAACTGTGAGACTCCTTTAGCTTCCCACCAGCAGATATTGAACACAGCTCCCTAAATGCTGCACTAACAGGAGAAAGGCAGCCCAGTATTTAATCACTTTGGCCCGCTTAACTTGTAGCTTGCATCTCACATAGATTTGGGCTATATACTGTGATCAAAGGAGAAGCTTTGATTCTCCACTGACATGTCTGAATGCAACAAAGAAGTGACATAGACACAGATTTCAGTGCAGGGTACATGTGCACTCAGGCTGCTATGGATGACCTTGCCCTGACACAGTTAGGACAATGTATACACCCAATAAGAGCCATGACAGGCACCATTTGACTTGCTGTAAGCCTCCCAGAGGGACAACCCCAAAGCTGTGTGTTCTTCCCCCAAAGGGAACAAATGCTGTGTGCCTAGCCCAGGCTTTTTGTTTTTGAAAACCCCCCAGGTGTGAAAGTTTTTCTGTGGTAAGGCAGGGTGTAGACACACAGCTTTGAAAATCCCAGTCAAAGATTTCCAACAGCCCTGTGGCTGCAAAAGATATTTTTAGGTTCATTGATTCATAAGTAGCATTTACTGGTTTGTGAAAGTCTGATTCAGAGGAAAGAGAAAGCAATCTGGAGCATTATCTAAGCTTTCATTTTTAGTCATGTTAGCAAATGCCTAAGTGTTACACACCACGGTTACTTAATTAGTTGGATTCAGGCTAATTGATTGGAAGCTGCGTATTTAATTTGATGTTTTAGGATTCAGTGATCCCAGTTGGACCTACCTACTGAAGTGAACCATTCCATGGCAAAGGAAAAAAAGTTTAATTCATGTGTAAAAAGAAAAGGGACAAATCAAAAGACAGCAAAAATAAACAGAAATAATTAATGCTCTAGATACTGGAGAAACAGCACAGTATGTAATATCTTAACATTATTTTAAGGCTATTGCTTAACTCCCAGCTTGTGTCAATCTCTTGCGTTCTCTGCTATCACAAGACTGAAAAAAAAAAAAAAAATAATTCTGTGCTGCTGGCTGTGAGGACAGGCTCAGGGCTTTGCTCTGGCTGATGAAACACACATGTCCCCCTGGGTAAGCAGTAAGGATGCAGACCCGCAGCCAAGCCCTTCTTAGTTGAGATGTTGCAGAGAAACTGCTCCAAGATGCAATGCTCCAGCTCAACAGGACGTGGCCATGTGGACGTACTCCGCATGCAGGCCTGTCTGCAGCAGCTTCTGCACAGAAGACCTCTTTGTCCATCTAGGGGGCTATTCTTTCTTTTCCCAGAAACAGAGCAGTAGTGGCCTTTCTTTCTTCATCCAAACAAGCTGATAAAGAGGTGAGGCACACCAGCAGGCTATCTATCTCCTTGGTGCTGTGCACATCATACCTCCCCACCTTAGAGCCCACTGTCCCCTGTAATCACAGGTGTGTCCATAAAACCAGACAAGCTTGCAATGGAGATGCCTCACTATGCAAGTCTACCGTGGCAGGCAGAGCACAGGCACGACTGCAAAGGCACTTCTGCTCCCTCAGCATAGGCTGCTCTACTGTCAAGAGACGTGTGTGAACCTCAGCTGGGAGGTCCCAGTCACAATAAGACAAAGGAGGAAAGATCAGCTGCTCGTACAGCTTTTCAGTTTAACCACTGTAAACACAAAGGTGAATGTTAAGCAAGAAAGAGCATCCTTGTGTTATTGTGTCACTGCTAAGCAATGGGGATGCACTGTGCTTGCGTTTTTCTCTCTCAGCCATTTCTAGCAGTATGCTTTGTTAAACTATGCCAGGCAAGTTGCCAAACTGATATAAGTGTAAGAGATTAGAAACTCATCCAGAAAGCTCTGTGCAGTCAGAAATACACCAAAATAAGAGAAACTTCAGTTATTGCTGCTTCTGCCACCTGGATGTGTGTGGAACCACCTTGAGACTTGCATGGCTGCACCCTCAGGCATAACCAAACACTCTCTTGCCTCCATCAGAAAAAAATACAGAATCATAAATTCACTGGGCTTTTACACTGAGGAATCACATATCTGTCTAGTACTCATCTTGACCATGATACTAGCAGCCGAACATAGAGATCTTTGCTATATTTATCTAGGATAGATGATAAATTTGGACACAGAGAGAATGGGGCTATGTCTATAGCAGTCTTAGGAGGCCAATGAGGCATGCTGCTGCACTCAGTGCTGTGGTCTGCACTCTCATCAGCAGCAGAGCTGCAGCAATCCAAACTTGCACAGCACCTCAGCTCAGGCCCTGGCCAACTCCATCTGCCTTGTAGTGAGCAGTACCAGGACCAGAGGGGACATGCTGTGACAGTAAGAGCAGCCTGGATACGTGGTGGCACCACAGTACCTATGGCCTTGGTAAGCACTAAAGATTGGCATGGACTCAAGTTCTCTGCTGGCTGCCTTCAGCCCAAGTTTGAACAGAAGTTCACTTGTTGCACCACCATACTCTTGTTCAAAATGAAAGCAGAAGGTAACCTAAATCATCTTCTTGTGGCCATAAAGAGAGCTTGCAGTGGAGCAGCAAATTCAATCTCTTCCGTACCACCATTCTCTACAGCACTGACTGATGAGACACTACTTCACAGGGGATGCCGGTACGCGTGGGAACAAAGGATTATGTTTGCACAGTTTGTGTATTTACTGAAATAGAGGTGGTTTCTTTTGGATATTCTTAGTCCCATGCAAATTTAAATATAGGAAATACTGATTAGACTGATTGCATACCATTCTGGAGTAAAAAGATGTAAACTTGACAGAACAGCATCTTTTCCTGTGGTTAATGTACATCATGCTAGCCAGGACATAAATTCCCTTAACATCAAACCAAATTCCATCTGGTCAGAAGCCATCACGACTAATAAATTTTATCCCTCTAGCCAGCCTCTTGAGAAAGGACATACCTTGAACTCTTTGCAGCTTGGGTTTGGAAAAGGTCATTGGTAAATTCAGAGGAATATAGTGCTCATGATTGCAAATGGTTTGAAGAAATTCAAACTTGTATTCAACCAGCAGCTAAGAAAACAAAAAAAAAAAACAAACACAACCTATGTTTTCAGTTTGATTCATGTGCTTCCAGTTCAATGTGTTTGTTGCACAAGGACTGGGGAATCTAAATAGCATTTGATGAAATTTAATAATAATTGGCAAATTTTTGTATTGTTCCCCCTAAGTGTCATTGCTGTCACCTGTGACTTCTTTACCTTTTTTTATCCAGACTATTAACCACTCTCTCCTTTAGTTCTGACTCATTACACTGTTTCGAAGCTTACCTGCATACAGCCTATTGGCCCAGACAAAGAGGTCTCTGCCTCCAGAAGACCTGGCAGGAACCATGCCTAAAAGGCCTTCACAAGTGTATAAATAATCACTATAGACTTTGACTGATCTAGATATGCACAACTGCAAACTACCTTTCAAGAAACATTCTGCTTACCTTAGGATCTTTTGGGCTGAATCCAGAAATGTAATCATTTATCAAGTTAAAAACAAATCCTCTATCCATAAAGGTCAAACAGCGCTGCAAAAAAAATAGCAACATGTGACCAGTCATTAAAAATTAAAGCAATCATCCTAATTCATCTCCATACTACTGTCCTACCAGTAGCCAGATTTGATCCTCAGGGCTGCTGCTGCCTTTCCAAAACACATTTGGTCCTGTTTCTCTGAAATTACTTGGATGACCTTACATAAAACTCTAGTGGACAACAGAAACACTTAAAATGAAAACACATGTATTTCCTCAGATTTTGAACAGTTGCTAGGCATGACTGAAAACCCCAGATAACACAGGGAGTACCATAGTCTCTCTCGGAAAGAGAAAGTTTCTTTCCTAGGAAAGCTCATCCCCTCCAGAGTTTTCATCACCGAAGAAACCAAAGAGATTGTAAAGTACAAACACAATTGTTCGCTTGCTGCTTATTTCTAATTGGTTGCATTTTTTTTCCGACAAAAGCCTGGGAGAAGGAAAGAAATCGCTGACCTTCAGGAAGTTAGCCAAGCTAAAGTTGACATTCCTGGACTCTTCGGGGATTTCGTTATAGCGAATGGTCACGTGAGGAATGATGGCGAGCAGCAGCGAATGCAGGGCGTGCTGGTAGGAGTCGGGGAACCGCTGGCCTCTGGGCAGCTGAAACCAAAAGCACGTCCTACACTCAGTGCTGCAAGCCAGCAGCTGGTGAGAACTGAGGACAGGCACAAGTTCCCGTTAGCGTTTGTTATGTCGTTTCCTAAAAAAAACACTGGCACAAAGAAAGCACTGGCAGAAACCACAGTAGCTAGTAACAGAAGAGAAGGCTGCATGAGCCGTAAGGAGATTTGGAATTTTTAAATTACAACTGAGAGTGAAAAGGGGAAGAAGGGAAAAGTAAAGTAGAAAAAATGGAAAGATCTGGCTAGCTGTTCAGATTGTCAGGATTTTTGTAAACAAAGAGTTACGTAGTGTTTCAGAAAAACTTTTGGAGGAGTTTCTTTGTGATGGTTCTGTAATGCAGCACCAAACAAATTTATTTTTACCTTGATTTTGTTTTCTTCCAGTAAGTACATTGCCATTGACTTTGCCAGTGCTTCAAAGAAAAACCACGAATACTAGAATGAACAAAGAACACTATTATTTTTCTCAGCACAGTTGAACATGTTAGATTATGTGGGGAAGCAGTAGTATGGGAGGGAGAGCTTACATTCAAGTGGTATAAGTACAGCTAGCTTGGCATGGGTGCCTTTGCTACCTGGAGGAGTCCTGCCAGTCTAGGGGTGGGAATAGCTCCATCCCCTCTGCTCTCCAATGCACCCTGCAAGGAGCCAGCAGAGTTTGGCGTGTGAGCTCAAACTCAGTCTGCCTCCCAGAAGTCACCCCTCAAGTGTGCCTTGAAGATGAAACTGGCAAAATGAAAAGCCCTTTGCTGCGTCCTGACAGAAGCCTTAACACAGCCATGTTCCCTGCAAGAACTCATCTCTGTTGTAAGGGGAGAACCTCAAGGATGTGGATGCAAGGAGCCGCCGTGGTAGCCTTGCTCCCGTGGTGTGTTTGTATAGATGAAAGTGTTGGGTTTTATACCAGACCCCCTCTCCCACCTCTCCACCCTTGGCAGCCAAGTACTGCCAACACTTCACCTTGAGTAGCTTATTGATGGCTAGAAAGTCTGCTGACTGTTTCAAGATTGTGGCCATGGAAAGAACCAAGATTTCATGGGTCATCTTCGCCTGTGTGACACTGGCTTTTTCAGCTCGAAAGACGTACTGAGGGAAGAGGAACAGTGTCAGCAGTGTGCCTGCTCCCAGGAGGGAGTTTTGCAGAGCAGTGTGTCATGACTGACCTTTATGAAGGAGCGCAAGTAGTGGTCTAGACCTTCTTCATGGCACTTGGACACGATGTGCAGAAGAACCCTAGGAAGAAACGTGGTTTGTGTTCAGCACGCAATGCCAGGGCAAGTTCCTTCAGCTCATGAAAGCAGACGCCGTTTGCATCCTATCCTGCTCAACCTCAAAAGCCTCACTGCTGGCGTGGCCTGATTTGCAGAGAGCCAGTACTTGCAGGCTAGCACCCTTCACAGCTCCTGTGGCACCCTTGCTGCAGCACAGCCCCTCAACAGAGCACTCAGATCTGAGGTGGCCAAAGCCTCTTCTCCACTTTGGAACTGGACAAAGTGTTGCCCTGAATAGCTGCCTTTGATGCTTGCAGCTCCCTGCATGAGGAGGTGAGGTGGGGCATTTCTCTGCAGGATACACATCCTATTCCTTGGCCTATGTGCACGCCAGGATTAAAGCCTGCTGCTGCTTGAATTCATATTACAGTGAGCATTAAGCACCTGAACAGTGCTCAGGTGTTAGATAAGTAGAAAATAAAAATAGGAAGTTATTCTGTTCTGCATTCAGTTCTCTTTAGCTGTATCTACAGACCTGCTATATGGAGAACAGGCCCACTTGCCCTACCTGCACACATTACAGATTTATCCACACTGTACAGCTTATCATGTGTTGAGTCTGTCCTTACCGGTGACCCTTTCCTAATGATAATACAAGTGACAATGAATAACTATACTACTACATCAAGTCTGCAAAATCAATACAAAAGCCCCATAGAATCTCTGCTGAGAAGTGAGGAAAAATATTCTCCATCATTGTTATACTCTGGTACCTGCCTGCATCCCCTGAACTTATTAATTCTGGAAGGCTCTTTTTTACTGAATTTACATCATATGTTCCTTGTTATACGCACTGGATTATTTTTGGGCTGTTGCCTTGGAGTTCACTGGGGACAAGCAGACCATGAAGAACGCGCCAGCCCTCTGGAAGCATTCCAGGTGGCTGATGAAGCCAGCAAGCACCTGGTTTGCCCAGCCAACATTGGGGATTTACATTCCAGTCCCAGCCAGAGTGAACAACAAACTATTGCACATTGCCACAGACCCCATAGGCCAAACCACAGGGAGGAGTTTACAAGCCATTTATCAGATAAAGTGGGTTTTAAATTCCACTCTGAAAGTCTGGATGAGAAAACAGTTGTCATTAACCTAAAACCTTTTGACAAACTGAAAGCATCAGGCCAAGCTTTGAAAAAACTCTCTGGAGGTGAAGGTGGGAACTGGTCAGGCAGCAGGCAGCCGAGGTCACCCGTTCCCTTGCCCTTGCCCTCTGATGATTCAGAGTGAGATCACAGTGCTCCACACAGGAGAGATCCCCACAACCAGCACCACATGGCACAAAACTGTGACTGCGGTGGGGCCCCCATCTCTGGGGAATCAGGGCACAGCCTCTGACCTCAGTTTTCACGGGAGCAAGATGCTTTTGGTACACGGCCGCCCGGAACCTCCTGGAGTCAGAGGGTGTGGAGGGGAGCGGCAGCCCGCATCCCGCTGTGACTGCAGCGCTTCCCAGAGGCAGAACTACGGGAGGAAGATGGATGGTTTAATGCATCCATCAGTGCAGGGGTGTCAAGGCCAGAGATAGGCTTTCGCTCATTTTGCTGCCTTTGGGCCCTGTAGAAGCCTGCACGCAGCGGCAACCTTCTGCAGAGGCCAGGCCCTAGTCGGTGCTGCCCTCTTGGGGCGGCAGGCACGGCAGAGCTTCCCTAGGCAAACCACCCCCTGCTTCTGGCCGTGCATTCTGAGCCAACAGGGACGTCGTGCCTACTTCTGCAGCATAACACACCCAGCTCCAGGGGAATTCCAGCCATGGTTCTGACACAGGAGACTGGTGAGACCAGGAATCACACTCATTGGGAAACCACATCTGTTGCCTGCACCTGGGAGGCGCCTGGGTGCTCTAAAGCCTTTTGATGACCAAATAACTTGATCCCCACCAGCAAACTCTTTTTCTTTTGAAAAACAAAACAGGAGCAGCTTTAAAGTGCCACTTTTTCCCCTAAGCAGCTCCCAGGACAAGAGTCCCACGATGTCCTGTGCCACCCAGACGTGCCAGAAGAAGACAGCAGCCAGTGTTTCACAGCACGACCACAGCAGCAAGCAGCAGTGCACAGCCAGTGCTGTTACTTAGCACCTTCTACTGGGAAACCACACCCTACTTTGCACTGTAGTTTGGTGGCTTTATGTTTGTAACCGAAGAATACTGGATGGTTTACCAGACACTCACATGGTGCAGTTGACAGCTACTTCATCTTCCTGTGTCACGTTTGTAAGGACTCTAAACAGTTGCATAAGAATTACAGGTAGAAACTGAATCATTACTTGGATCTCCATGGCGTGCAAACACTAAAACAAATGTTTAAAACACAGACACTTTTAGTTCAACATTTTGCAGATGTTAAATATTTACAGTCCATAGACATTCCTGTGGCAATAGGACAGGCATTAGCAAAAAAGCTCCAGGGTGTGGGCTTCAGCCTGCCAGAGGACAGGAGAACTTGGACCCATAGCAGCACTCACTGCCTGCCTTCCAAATGACAGGTCCCAGCTGCATGCCTTCAGGGAGCAACATGAATCACTCATGGCATGTATTAAATCTCCTCTCAGATGTGCCGAGGCAGCTATGACTTCATTAGAGGTCGCATGCTATGGTTTGACCCAAATAACCCAGGCTTTAAGGCTGAAGTGTTGCTCCCAATTCTTGTCAGTTGTGACTGTGTTTTGATGTGACCAAGTCCCATTTCCACAAATGCCTTTAGAGCATGGAAACTTGATGCTCGATGACTTGCAGTGAGACTTTTTTCCAACAAGCATAGCTTGCTGTTAGAAATGGGATTTAAGTGATTTGGCAGAGGTCAGGATTATCTTGTGCATACACCCTCCACCCATCTTGTAGACCTATTTTGCCTGAATCTCATGATATGAACCTAGGAAAGACAGTGCATTTCATTTTCCTTTTTCAAACCTGCAAATCCAACAAAAGGTTCTTAAATCTGTATCTAGTTATTTAAAGTACTGAAATTATTGAGGTATTGGTGGTAAGGAGCCCTCACTTGTGGTTAGTATGTAAATGTCTGTCTGTCTGCAGGCTGCAGCGAGGATGTTGTGGCTGGACAGGGCTGGGACCTACCCAGCCCCTTGACCAAATGCTCACAACAAAGCAACCCTTCTTTTAGTGCTTGGCTTAAAAATCTGCCATTATTTCGAGTTCTTAAAATATTTATATATTATTGGAAACACACCCAGTAACTTTGTGGTGATAAATCCCCACCGCTGGACTCTGAGCTGTTGCTATGGCAGCATTCTTGAAAACAGGCAGTTATGGAGGGAAACAAGGACAGTAAACAGTCAAGAAATATATTCCCTGCAGAAGCCTTTGCTGGACCTGCTTCGAGGCCCTTACTCATGCTGCAGCAATTGCCAAAAAGCTGGGTCTGGGTTGTAGGTCATCTGTGCTCAAATTTAACTGACTCATAATCTCAGATCTTTTTCAGGCTAACAAAAAATCCTGTTTTGAATGAATAATCCTGAAAACAAAGAATTGTGTTGCAGTTTAAAGGTTTGGATCAAAACTAGGGCAGCAGGGGAGGAGTGTGTGAGCCTACCAGAAGGGTTTGCCATAAGCACAGCAGAGCGATGCTGACTACTCCTTTTATCTGCTGTGAAAGGCAGTGGGAAGCAGCACACAGACAGCAGACAGTTCTGTCAGTAAGCAAAGGTAAGGATATTGTACTGGTCCCAGTGCTGCAGTGAGTGCACACTCCTACAGGGCAGTGATCTGGGTATTTACTGATGGTCTGAAAAAACACAGACAAAGCCCACAGACAGGCACTGTTCACCTTTAGATATTTAACAAGCTCTCCTGGGACTTCCTTTGCTCCCGCCTGAACCAGCTGGCAGTACTGGAAGAATTTGTGCAAGTGCATGTCCTGGAAGAGACAAAAAAGCTCAATGCAGTCACCTCAATATTTGTCAACTCCTACTCTGCAGCTGATGCTCAAAAATCTGCTGACTTACCTGAAGCAGTACGCCATGTCCCTAGCAAGCCCCATATCACTACCAGTGGCACTTTTGGTCACCAGCTGCCATCTCCCAGGACTACAGTACTGTTCCCAGCCTTTTCCAACATATCAAGCCACTGCCCACCTCAAGATTAAGCACAACTGCTAACAGTGTTAAAATTCTTCTGTGGTTGCACTACCCTGAGCCCAGATCCTCACCCAGCACTGGCCTGGAGAAATAGGACTCTCCCAGCTGTGGCTCTCTGGGACTGTCTCATCATCTGCCTCATTGACCTCCTATTGTCCATCTGAGGCAGACTCTCCTTTCCATTCCTCTCCCGACTCCTCCAAGGTTAAATTTAATTACTGGGTTATTTAATCCTGAAAAGCATTTGAGAATGCAGTTTGCTGGGGAGTGGAACTGCTGTACTGTACAGAATCAGTGAGACCTGAAACAAGATTCCGATGATGCTGAAAGCGAGTTGCTGTGAATGTAAAGGCAGCTGATTACATCCAGTACGGGACAAGCAGCCCTGCCAAGGGCACTTCTCCATGAGCAGTGCTGACAGGAGATGCCCCAGAGCACATGCTAGGGATCTCTGCTTGCACATCACATGAAGCCTGGGGAAGTCCACCACTGCCATAAGATGGCAGAACACACGAGCACTTGGTAAAACAGCCTGAACTGGTTTCAAAGTGAAATCAGGACTCTTTTTTACTTGTGCCTGCTGTTGTGAGAAAACATCTTTTTTAAACTTAATAAACAGTGTAATATTTGGGGAAATCTCTCATTTCCATCAGTTCTTCTCTTCTGCATCACTGAAGCAGATCACTTGCTCAAATGTTTCCTTGGTCCTGCCAGTTACAGTGCAATTGGTCAAGAAAACAATCAGCCTCTCCCTAGGCTCATTCACTCACACAACTGTCTCATCACACCCAGTCAAAGAAGCAGATCCATGCAAGTAATCCCAGACCTGCTGCTACAGAAGTATCTCAGTGCTGCTCTGCAAACACAGGCCCCTCTTTCCCACAGCACCTATGGCATAGCAGTAGTAGAGATACAGTGATTGCTTCCTCTATGCTTGTGCTGAAAGTCTTTAGAATCGACAAGTGCTTAACTCACCTGAGTGTATACAGTTGAGTCCAAATGGATTCTGATTTTAAACAGTGGCTTTGCTCCATCCACCCACTTTGCATCCACGCTGGGCTGCTGTGAACAGACAATATTCAAGTACTTGATTTCAGACTGCAGTGAGAAGGTGGCTCTGTGCAGACAGACACCTGGTCAGAAGATACAGGCGGGGGTGCAAGAAGGGTTTCCCCCAGAGCACAAACACCAGTGACCTGACTCCAGCCATGGCAGGACAGATGGGTTCCCATGAGAATGTGCACACAGAGTACATGCCCACATGCTCTGTACCATGTAAAAAGCCCAGTCCGGCCTGCCACAAAAATATTCTCTGCATCCTACATAGCCACTGGAAGTGGAATTAGAAGTGTCCTGTCTCATAGCCCTAAGAACCTTAAGCTTTGGGGGCTGCCCTGCAAGTAGGGATCTTTCCAGCTGAGGAGAGCACCAACAGAAGCCCAGAACTTAGAGTGGTAACAAAAGCTCAACTTTCCTCTTCCTTTTACATTTAAGTCCATTTTAAATGGCCTTCCTACCCTTCGTGACTCTGTGTCTCCAAGACCCAGGTAGCCAGGTGGAAGGTTGGATGAAACTGGCAAATGCCGCTCCAAGGTGACAATCCGTCCATCCTTCAGCAACGGGACCCAAGTGTATCCCACTGTGGAGACAACCAGTGGACCATAGTTAGCAGACACACAGCAATACATGTTTAGCTCAAGGTCCAAAAAGAGCTATGTCTCACCCTGAAGATCAGACTCACAGTTGTGCAAGTGGCTTCAATGAGGCTGAGATTGACCATGTCAGCCTTTTTAAAGCACATTTTACCTGGTGACTTGGTGTCTGAAACTCAGACACAGTACAACCAAGATCAGGAGTGGGTTTGAGGTGCAGAAAAAGTGTGTGAGCCATAGTTGTACACCATGACAAAGGTCCTTCAGTCATCCAAGGACTGGCTGAATGGAGAGGCATCCCAATCAGTAGGACCTGGATGTGCTCAGTCTCTTATGCAAGCCTAGTGTTGGTAGGATTGATCTTTGAGGCCCTGATCTTGCATTAAATTTTTGTCAGTGACTTGACTGACAATAGCCCATCTGTGCAAACCAAGTCAAGAACAAGCAGAAACAGCTGTTAGATTGCAGCAAAAATTTCAGCTTTAGTATGCACTAAAAAAACATTGTGTTTTATTCCAGTTATACCAACGATTTATATTAGGTTGCTTTCAAAAAAGAAAATTCAGATAGGCGAGAATTTTAGTAAAATGGTTTTTTTTCATGTCCCTACATCCATTTTATCATGGACTCTTACACTCCAAAAGAAGTAATTGAAGCATTGAACATACCTTGAGTTTCAATGGTGTCCTGTTTTTTCGATGTTGCCTTTGTATTAATTTCACAGCTGACATGATAGAAGGTGAAAAGCAAATGATGCTTTTGATGGAGGTGAATTGGAAGCTCAATTTTAATCTAAAATGATATCATGATAGATAAGACTGTATGTTTAGTTATGGAGTAATATTTTAAGTTCTATGTTATTTCACAAATGCTATGCAGTTACACAAGACACATTCCTACCCATTTTAAATAACTCCTGTCTATTTTCAACACATTTGCACATTATTTATTAATGGGGGTGTGTGATTGGAGTGCACAAAGCGTGACAGTAAAGGCAGTAGAAAACAAACTAGCGTTAAAAATGGACAAAGTCTGGCTTTCCTGAATCCTTCTACTGATGCAAAAGGCTGCATACCCATATTTTTCCCAGCTCTATCAAAAGAGGTATCCTGAAAGGACCCTTGGCTTTGTAGCATCCAGGAGAATCTGTTATTTTCCATCATTTCATTTTTACCTCATCGTAGAACTCTGGACTCTGGTTGTGATGCAGCACAGCAGCATAAGCGTTTGTGGTCAGGAGTTGGCCTCCAGGTTTGCCATATATACACTGGAGACATAAACAAAGGCTTGAATTCAGGGTTACTGCCACCCTAAATTAGCTGGCCAAATTAAAATACCGGGCATGGAAACTCCGTGCTTTCCTGCTGTCCTGCTCAGCCTGGCTGGCACACAGTACACAGCAGCAAGCAAATGGCAGCCCCACTAACACGTACCCACCTTTAACGGCCTGGCATCAGCTTCATCTGAATCCCTGAACTCAACACAGACAGCAATATTCCTTGCCTGAAATGGAGGAGAACGAGCCATTGCTACAGGATGCTGCATCACCTCAAACCACGCTGAGTCTGGCTGCAGCCTGCTCTCCAAGTTGCTCACCTTTGCAAACACCTTCTGGTTCTCATACTTCAAATGCAAGGGGTAGACATAGAGGTGGTTTTTGTAGACAGTGAATGGATAACAGTATTTTGCAACTTCTGGGACAAGTTCCTCCACTTCAACTGTGATGTCCTCACAGCTCTTCTCAAAAGGCTTTATAGGAATGTAAGAAGCTGTAACACAATCTAGAAGAGAAGGAAAGCTTGGCTAAGTGCACATCCCACAAACATGGGAAGTACAGCCCATGTAAAGGGATTTGTAGGTCTGAAACTCTGCCATTGCTCTCAAGCATTTAGTTTTCTTCACATCAGAGGACTGTGTGTGTTGACCAGGCAGCAGGACTTAGACCTCTCCCACTGAAATGATTAAGGGAAAATTCTCTCCTTGATCATGGAACATCTGTGGTCCCAAACTGCACTAGCAATCTTGAGAAAAGGGGAGTGCACAGGCACCATGAGGTTCTGCTCTCCTTGCCAGTGGGGACTACAGAAGTGGAACCTTCCTGTAGCTCTGGGCAAAGGCAAAGGGTCTTGTGAATGAACCATGGGACAGCTGCTCTGGGCATGACCTTCACCTTGAGTCTTCCAGGAATTTGACCCATTAAGTTACTGTTTTATAAATCATACAAACATCACCTGACTGAAGCAGACATGCTACTAAGATGATGACTTGAGACTGCTGTTTCAAAATTTCTCAGTCCCACTGTATCAGTCCTTTTCCACTCTCTGCTTCAGAAAGAAGTTTGACCATTATGTTGCCTTCAAATACCAGTGCACAAGCCCTGCCTGATTCACCAAGACTCACATCCACTATGAGGAAGAGCTTACCTCGAGTGATGGCCTTTCAAAGATCAGAAAAAATTAAGTCCACTAGAAAAGCCTTTTGGATAGGGACTGGACTGCAGAACCTGACCATAGTATATGAAGCCTTCTGGTGTTATGCATCAAAAACGTTTTATGAGATTGGATTGTAAAAATAACAGCAAGAGCAGGCAAGTGGCTTCCTTTCAATGCAGGATGTGATGGCTAAACTGCAAAGCTGAAGAACTCAGGTAAAGCTCTGCGCTTGGAACACATCCCTCCACAGTGCCCATCAGAAAGACTTACAAATCAGTGGTTGTGCTTAATTACCCATTTCTTGCTGCAGCCCCAAGATACTCTTTTAAATGAAACAGTGAAACTCCTCATAGCAGCATTAGGTCCCCAGGCTAGAGCCATCAGCGTTTATTTTAAGATCCCAGATACTTACTTGTAAAGTCTAGCGGGATGTCTTTGATGATAATATTTAACTGGGCTGGAATGACCTGCAGTTTTGTCTTCTCTGGTCTGCATTAGGGAGAAAGGAATGAGAGTGTGAACCTTGAAAGCTCAGGTACTGAACACATCAGCAGTGCTTTGTATTACCCTCTGAGTATTTTAGAAATTGTCATCTCATGCTTAACTGTTTAAAAATGTATATTAAAATGCCTGCTCAGCCTCTGCACTAGTCTTTACACTTACTTCTTATACTCTGCTAAAAGCTTCAGCATATCTTCATTTGAGAGTTTGCTGCTGTCTTGCTTATACAAGGGCGAGAATTTTCCTTCAGCATCAAGAGTGCCCTGGGAGTCTTTGAAAACTGGCCTGCAGAAGAGACACATTTCTTAAATGCTGGTAAATATCCAGATGCTGAGGTCTTTGACACGTCAGGCTGGAGATCAGTTTATCAGGCAAGAGGTCCACTGGCTTCTGTCTGCTCTGAACACCACCAGACCTCCTGATCACCCTCCCAGCCTGACATGGTACTTAGGCCCTATGCATATTGCAATCCACCATGTCACATAAAAGTGCATGGCACATCACCTATTTCCTTTCTCTCCAACCAGGTGAGAAGGACACACTCGGCCCAGATCCAAGCCTGGTCCATAATCCTGAACACCCTTTAATCCCCTCCCACTAACACCAAGTGGTAAGGTAATCTTCCTAGTTGCACATAGGGTCCGAGCATGGAAATCCTCCTAGGAAAGGAATGTGCAATGAAGACCCATCTCAGGACAGCTTCCTCCTGAACCCAGAGCAGGAAACTGGACTCTACTCTTGATGAATACCAGCATCTTTGACCTTGAATATAAAGGCTGCAGGTGTCTATGTACACTAAAGCATCTGTATTCCCTTCCTGTGCAAACACCTTCCTCTGAAACCCAGAGAGAAACTGTTTCATGGATGCAGAACAACACAGCTCTCCATACCAGGCCACTCAACTCCTTGGCCTTGAAATGTAGCTCTTTACCCTGCAGGAACAAATATGAAGCCTGTCAAAGTCAATGCTTACACAGAGCCCACCATTAGTCTGAGGTACCACTTGAAAGAGGGCTGAGGCACAGCACAGGCTGTGTGCTGGCTCCCAGGAGTGAGCTGCATTCTAGAAACACAATCTTGAAGCTGAGAAGTCCAGTGTCAAAGGAAAAGTCAGCTCCCGAATACACATCGCAAACTGTCTACCACCAAATCCTGGCCCACTGTGACAGTCATCTGGTATTCCCAAGTCATTACTATCCCTTTTGTCAGCACCAAAGAGCAATTTAGCAATATGAGGCAGTGGCAGAAAGATGAACTTGCCTTCAGGCCTTCCTCTGATGTGAGATTTAAGGGAGTTAGCACCGATGTACTTTATTAGTCTCAGTAAAAGAACAGTGAGGGAATGGTATCACCATCTCCAGTTCCAAGAGCATTAACTAAAGCAGTGTCTAAGATGGGAGACAAAACCCAGCTGACTGCCCAAGTCAAGCCAGGAGGTCCTTCACTCTCATCCTGTCCCTGGCAATGGCTGGTGCCAGGAGGGAATTTCTGCACCGATTCCTGTGGCAGCACAGGACAGCATAGTTCATCCTCAGGAACGTTCTGCCCTGACAGCAGCAGCTACAGGGCAGCAGGAAGGGTACTGTGGTCCCCGCA